TGTGTGTGTGTGTGTATATATATATATATATATATATATATATACACAGTGGAGATCAAAATTAGAGAACAATATATAAATACTTGACTTTTTTCTGCAATATTGTTAATCTTCATCACTCAAAATTTGAAGGAATATTAGCTGTGGGTATACCACTGTTCTACTAACATGTTTTACAAAATAACCAGAGAATGTCAACAAAAAATATTATTTTGTGGAAAACACAGTGATCAAAATTAGAGAACAGTAACCACTGTAGCACGAAAGATTACAATACAGAAAGATTAAAAACAAAATATTTTTTTGAAAGTCGGAGCGTCGTGGTTTTCACTTGCTCCAAGACCGCTTCACTACCGCTCCATCACAAGAACAATTAATGCCAACAGCCCATAATATAACTGCTTTTTATCAAGAATTCACACATTAAACATCATTAGCTAGCTTGACAGATATGTGGATCACTCAAATCAGAAAGAAGGTGAAGGTTTTAATGACTTCGATGGACGAGTACGGGTGGTTATATCTCAAGCATGTTTGTTTGTAGCATGCAGATACTCAATATTGATTGGGTGAATTCAAGTTTTAAACAGTTTATTGTACAGGTAGTTAATCTCCCTCTAAACGAATGTGCTGCTACATTGCTGCAAGCGTGCACAACACACAAGCTCGCATATAACATACAGGTCGCGTGCACATAGAAACATTCAGGAGTGCTGAAAATTATTGTCAACGCTGTCCTGTGATTTATCAGCTTAAAACGGAAATCTTACAGCATATTCTGTCTGTTTCTGAAATAACTACAACCCTCAGCTTCACCATAGTAGAGAGACGCTGCACAGACAAGTGATTTAATATTGACTTGGGCTAATTGCAGTGTTCCAATAAATCATGTTAAAACTATTCTTCTAATATTGTGTATTTATTTTTCGTTTAAAATAAGTTCTGAACAGAACTTTGTGATATTTCAAAACATACTGAAATACTTTAGCTGCAAATTTGGTCATGGAGCGAAGGCGGAGCGGCATTTCTGATCAGTGGAGCGGGAAATGCTGAACTGGAGCGGGGTGACTATTGAATGCTTGGAGCGCGGAGGGGAAATTGTTGCCGCTTCACTCCGCTCACATACTCTAGCACTGAACTCCCAAGCAATTCCAGCTGCAGTGTTGAACCGATTCCCCATTGAGAGTCTCCGCTTTATCCTGTCTTCTCGTGCACTTGTCTTATGTGGATGACCAGCCTTTTTGGGGGACTTGAATGAATTAGTGTCATTTGGAATTGGACAGATTTGGAATGACCAGCTTCTCTTGCAGTGGCTGAAAGTGTCATCCCATTGGCCTTCATTTGGCCATCTTGCAATCTCAGTGAAAATTGGAGGAATGCTGCCAGTTAAATAGGGTTTGTCATTTAATTATGGAAATTAGCACCAGGTGCCAGATTAACACCAAATAACTTGGTGGTAATCTGTAAATGTTCTCTAATTTTGATCAGAGTTCTTTATCAAATCACGTATTTAAGTTTTGTATACTGTGCTTTAGAATGCAATTAATTTATGAAATATGCTTTAAAAACCGCCCTTCTGCTCCTAACTTCAAATAGGACTAAGCAGCGACCTTGAAATTGAGTAAACTGTAGGTTTGTATACACACACACACACATATATATGAGAAATCACCAAAAAAAGGGCACTTCGGAGTGTAAGGGCAAAAAGGGCATGTGCTCTGCACAGGTTGAGCCCTACCTGTGCACGTGCCTGTATATTCTCATATATATAATATTGAGAACCATGAGAAGTTTTCTCAAATTAGGGCTGTATTTTAATTGTTTAATGAGTACTGTGATTGAATACTGACTGTGGTGTAATAATCATTTGTATATTTGTATTTTTGTAGTTTTATTTGTTTGATCAAACAATCTCGATTGTTCAGTTAAACTTTTTTCATTTAAAAAAATGTTTTACACAAACAAATCAATATTACTTTTAGCGAGTCTATCATTGATGCTTACCTGCTCACAAGTTCAGCAGCCGTTCAGATCGAGTGTTTGAGAAGCCCTTCTTTAAACAAACTTCTCAAATAACCTCTTCATATCGCTCCAAAACAAGTGACAGACTGTCCAAACTTCATTTCCATCTTTTTGTTTAATTTATAAAATGTCTCGGGGTGCAAATATTTGAAGATGAAAGAGTGAGAATGATGTGATATTTGCAGCCATATTTCCCCAGGTGCCATAAATTTCATACTTCAAAGCTGTGTGTTTTGATCCTGAGAGTCTGGAGATCTGTAGTAATTATTCAGTTTTATTCAGCTCTGTAAACAAGAAGGAATGAAATAAAGCACATTTTTGAGTTGGATAAATGTTGTGTGAGTTTCTGACAGATACTACAGGATGATAACTGACCCATTTTCTCTTTCTCTTCCTCACCAGCTAATGTTCTGGACACCATGCTGCTGAGGAATTCTGGGAAGGTGGAAGAACGTCGGGAGACAGGAAGTGATGCGCCGGCTCTACCTCAGCGCTTCCTGTGGTGTTACTGTTACCATCACTGTCCGGAGGACTCCACTAATAACACATGCAGGTATCAGGACACATCCCGCCTCACTTACGTACACTTGCACACATACTTTACATGGCATTACATGTGTGTTGTGTGTTCAGGACGGATGGTTACTGCTTCACCATGGTGGAGGAAGAGGGTGGAGCGGCTGTGGTGACGTCAGGCTGTCTGGGTCTGGTCGGATCGGAGTTTCAGTGCCGAGTGAGTCATAAACTGCTCTAATTTCCAAAATAAACCACTTAAGTGTTAGTGCATCAGTCCTCAAGCACAGACGAAACAAAAGCCTTATGTAACTCACTGAATTAAACAGTTCTGTTGAAATTTCTATTCATCAAGAAATCCACAGAAATATGAAGCAGGTCAACTGTATTCAGCATTAACGATAATAATAAAAGTTTCTTAAGCAGCAAATCAGCATATTAGAATGATTTCTGAAAGATCATGTGACACTGAAGACTGGAGTAATGATGCTGAAACCATCTGCCAGTCTAATCACAGATTCACTTAAATTTACTAAAATGTGAAGTTATTTTGTGGTGTTTGTGTAGGTAAGCATCATTATTACTATTGTCAATAATTAGGCTGAGTGATTTTAACTTCTAACTCTAAGTTGAACCATTTAGCAGAAACATAGTGACATGCTAAAAACCTCTCAGAATTATGGTGGCTGAGAGAGCTCAATGCACTGCAAATGAAAAAAACACATGCAAATAGAAAAGGCACCAGCAAATTAAGAAAACATCTTCATCAGTTTGACAACACATGCACTGCAAAAACTCACAATACAACCAAATACAGAAACGCGCTGCATACATAAATGGTAAAAAAAAAAAAAAGGTAATGGTAAATGCCAAAAGCATCATTTCTACACTTTTACTATAATAAAAACATGGTTCATTTTCGTAAGGGTTGTTGGGTTCCCCTTGGAACATTTCCGTTGTGGTCTGTGCTACTTGCAATGCTTTTCTGTATTTGGTCACGTTGTGCGTATTTGCAGCGCGTTTCTGTATTTGGTTGTGTTGTGAGTTTTTGCAGCGTGTGTGTTGTCAAACTGATGAAGATGTTTTCTTAATTTGCTGGTGCTTTTTCTATTTGCATGTGTTTTCTTAAGTTGCAGCGCATTGAGCTCTCTCGGCCACTGTACAGAATACCTTAGCAACCACATAGCAACATTCTTACAACCACTCAAAACACCTTAGCAACTAAATTACAACGCCTTGGCAGCAACCCAGTACACCACTGCAACTGCAGAGCAATGTGCTAAAATCCACTCAAAATACCTTAGAAACTACATAACAAAGCCTTGGCAACAGGGTTATTATTGTTAACTCAAACTATGAAAAATAGTTTTGTTAATTGAAATAAAGCTGAAGTAAAAAATTATATAAAATGTAAGATGAAAAATGTAAACTAAATGAAAAATGTGAAATTAACTGCACAAAAATTACAAACTGGAAATAAAAAAACTAAGACTGAAATTAAAATAAATGAAGCCTTAAAAAAATAACATAATAATAATGATAATACTAATAATAATAATGAGTAATAAAAAAATTACTAAAACTAAAATTAAAATAAAAACTGAATATAGAAATGAAATCTAACTCAAAATATTAAAACTATAATAGTATATTAGTATATAATAATAATCTAGTCTGGATTACTATAGACTAACTCAAAAACATACTGAAGTGAATAATAATTAAAAAAAAACATTATTTAACCTCTGTAGTATTTTCCTTTGGGCAACATTCCTAGAAAAAATGTGTGATTTGTTCCCAAAAGTATATATAGGTTAGAAACTCTCACACACCTGTAGGGTTTATTGTGGGTGTCATGATACAACTCCCCTCAATCAACACAGCAGAATAGAAGCTTCTCTGTCCGTCACACACACACACACACAGCTCCTGAAGGAAGTGTTCATAGAGCCGAGTCAGTGTGATGATGTAAGAGTTGTGTGTTAACCATCGGCTCTTTGACATGTAATAATACGTACGTGTGTGTGTGTGTGTGTGCAGGTTACGTGGTGGGAGACATTCATCATATTGCTCTGCTCATCTCAGTGACCGTCTGTAGCTTCATCCTCACTTTCATCATCATCTTCTGTTACTTCAGGTGTGTAAGTTACCAAACAAACACAAACACAGACTTCAGTTTCTTAAATAAAGCTACTTAAAGGGATAGTTCACCTCAAAATTAAGATTTTGTCACCATTTACTTTCCCTCAAGTTGTTCCAAACTTGTATGAGTTTCTTTCACTTACACAGCACTTACATCAAAACCTTACAGTTTTAATCCTATTCAGAAGGTTTTATAGAGGTGTTTGTTTGTATATAATTTTCCTTATTTTATGCAACATTTTATTCTTAAAAACATGGTGACTTCTTTGATGAAAAGAGATATACAAAATAAGTCAATATATCTAACAAGTCAACAAAACCTGGCTTTATCCAATGTTCAGTTTTCTGTTCTGGAAGTGTTTTCAAATGAGTGTTTATTTATGCGATGGCGCCGCAGACTGCAGCCTCAGTGTTTGGCTCTCCAATGTTTGTACTGTTTTTGTTAGTTTTTCCTGTTTTTTGTTTCTCAAACACGATCAGTTTTACCAGGGATGAGCTGGATAATGCCTCATAGCATTACATGGCAAACGTAACATTTCAGAACACTTGTAATTCATAAATGATTGCAATTCTTAATGTAATCATTCAACTAGGGAAGCATGGTGGCATCAGTTACTTTTTAACCTTTTCACTTGGGAAGTTCTTGCCTTAAAATGACTATGAACTTTTGGTCAGCATGAACTACAGTGTCTGGTTATATGAGACCAGATTAACCCTTATTCTAAACTTTAATCGGCCACATTATTATAATGATCTTTGTTTTTTAATGTAGCTGTTTTTTATCATTGTGACCGCAATATAAATCAGAATCAGAATCAGAATCAGAATGAGCTTTATTGCCAGGTATGTTTACACATACGAGGAATTTGTTTTCGTGACAGAAGCTTCCACAGTGTAACAGAATGACAGTGACAGACACTCTTTGTGAATCCCCAGGTTGCGTTTGAGTGGACTTTTGGTCATGTTAGTCTGGTGTTGAAGTGGTCTGTGTGGTGTTTCAGGTATAAGCGTCACGAGTTAGTCCCACGCTACAACCTCGGCTTGCATCCGGATGAGACGTTAATTCCTCCGGGAGAATCCCTGCGGGATCTCATAGAGCAGTCCCAGAGCTCCGGCTCAGGGTCAGGACTCCCCCTGCTGGTGAGAATCACACACTGCACACAGTCACAGATCACATGAAATCAGCATCTACATAGAGCCCTGTGATTTATTTCTGTGATGTAGAAAACACGGATGGAATCATGGAATCCATTAAAAAAAATGGAATTTACTGTATAATGTGGAATGTCATGGAATTTTTGATGAATAGATCAAAAGTAGGACTGTACAATTAATCAAATCAAAACATGAACTAGTATCTGTGATTATTAAACTGCAAAAAGACTACTATTTAATATGAAGTCAGTGTGTCTCACAGTGAATGAGTGGTGCAATTAATACACACAGCAAAATCTTCATTACAACCCGCCAAAATAAAAGTTTGGTCTAATTTGAGGAAATTATGAAAGAAAAGTATTGCAATTGTACAGTATAATGTACTGTATTTCAAAGTAGTATTAGTAGTAGTACTAATAATAATGATGATGATGATGATGATGATGAAATTTAATAAAACATTGTTTTTTAAGAAATATCACAAAATATCACAATTTTTCATCTCTGTTTTCATTTAAAAAGTAAAACTTTTTGGTGCAAAAAATAAAAATAATTGTTAATTGCAACTGCAATGTTAGTTGCAAATTGTTAGTTGACATGCAGTTGCAAAGTTATTGTTAGTAGAATGTCTAAGGTGGACTATGGAAATAAAGTGTAGCTATTAAAAGTTGTATGCACTAATTTGATTAACACACAATTCAGAAAATGAAAAGACATCACTGAATCTGAAAAATGTCATAATTAGACATTTGTTTGTTTATTATTAAAATTTTCTTAAACCATTAAAACAAAATCCAGAAAATTACAATTTAAAACGTTAAAATGAATATAATTTTATTATTATTGTTTTATTATTATTAAGTTATTAAATTGTTAAACTATCCATAAAACTAAAAAGTTTTATGAATTGAATTAATTAGACATGCTTTTTTATTATTTAAATTTAATTAAACCATTGAAACAAAATTACAATGGAAAACACAGAATTCGGGGAAGAAATAAAATATAAATATAAAATATATATTTTATTTTATTATAAATAAATGAGAAAAAATAAAACAGATTTCATATTGCCCCATTCATCCTGTTTTCTTAAAGGGGTGGTTGATTGCGATTTCACTTTTTTAACGTTAGTTAGGGTGTAATGTTGCTGTTTGAGCATAAACAATATCTGCAAAGTTGCAGCGCTGAAAGTTCAATGCAAACGGAGATATCGTCTTTTAAAATTCTGGCAGTTTAATGCCTACAAAAACTACAATGAGCTTCTTCCCAGGTCCGTTACGTAACGAACCCAGATAAACCCCGCCCCCGGGAACACGCAGCAAAGGGGGCGAGGCCATGCTGCACTGCTTTAGAGAAGAGGAAGAGAAAACGTCTCCAGGTTACGTATGTAACCATGGTTCCCCGAAGGGAACGAGACACATAAACACAATCAAGCCTAGAAAAAACCCAGTCAACCACCCCTTTAATAAATGTCACTGCTCTTACTGTGTATGATCAATCACTTCATGTTTGTCTATCTATCTGACTGTATAGTATGTGTATGTCTGTGTCTGTAGGTGCAGCGCACTATAGCCAAGCAGATCCAGATGGTGACACAGATCGGGAAGGGCCGTTATGGAGAGGTGTGGATGGGGAGATGGAGGGGAGAGAAAGTAGCTGTGAAAGTCTTTTTCACCACAGAGGAGGCCAGCTGGTTCAGAGAGACAGAGATATATCAGACTGTGCTCATGAGACATGAGAATATACTGGGTGAGACTTTCTCTCTCAAACACACAAACACCCTTACATTTACATGCTACTATTATACTATTAATGTAGCAAATATACAGAATATTATTAGGAAAGGTAGTGCTTGCCAAGCTAAAGCAACTCATAATGTAAAGTTATTCAACTACCCTCTTGAAAAAGTAGTTAGGTGCACTAATAAAAATATTTAATTTCACTGAAGCTATTAAGGGGGACAGTATGTGTATAATTAAGGTGAATAAAGGAACTCGTTATTTTTTTTATTGCTGTTCGATGCCAAATGAGTCAGTGCTTCATAACAATAGATGTTTAAATATCTCCACTGCACTATATATATTCTAATGTAATTTAACAAAGGTCTTTGTTAAAATAAAATAAAGTGTCTTGTCAGTTTAACTACTTAGGTCAAGGATGGGCCAAAAAAAAACCATTAAGACTATATTCATGCAATAATTGCTAATCTTTTTGTTCTTCTAGAACAGGGATTCCCAGACCTTTTTGTCAGTCGAACCTCTTTGACATAAAATATTTACTTGGAGTAGATAATTCTTTTCAGTAATTTAACAACACATTTACATGACACACAGGTAAACAGATAAAATGTACATTAAGACTATATTCATGCAATAATTGCTAATCTTTTTGTTCTTCTAGAACAGGGATTCCCCAGACCTTTTTGTCAGTCGAACCTCTTTGACATAAAATATTTACTTGGAGTAGATAATTCTTTTCAGTAATTTAACAACACATTTACATGACACACAGGTAAACAGATAAAATGTTTAATATTTTTAGTGTTTTATTTTAATAGTATTTACAGGGTGTCCGCTGGTCCTTAAAAAGTCTTAAAATGTCTTAAATAACGTTTTCCTAATAAAAGGCCTTAAAAAGTCTAAAATATCTTCAGTCTGACGGAACGAATGACTTACAATCATGGGACAGACCGAACTCACCGAAGATGATTTTTTTCTCCCCCGTGGTATTACTGCATCAGAGAGAATCGCAGTAGCAGAATACAGGTCGAACTACCTTCTTAATGTTCTCAATAATAATAATAATAATATAGGTCGAGCTACAGCTGATCAGCCTTCTAGCTAGTTTAAAATGTTTTTTTTTTACTTGCCCGACCGGACAAATAGCCTGATTAAAACATGTGTCAAAAGAAAAAAAACCCAGCGAAGCATCGAAACGCGAGAATGATTCTTCTAATTTTATTAGCCTACATTCAATGTAAACAGCGATTGATAATAGATAGTGTATTTTTGGTATCAAGTTCGCGCTGTTGAGGCTCACTCTGTTTGTCTCTTTGTGAGAGACTTCAGAACAAATGAGTGTAACAGCACACATAAAGAAACTCAGAAGAAACACACTGAGGTAAAAATTCAAAATGTTTTGTTTATTCATAACATGATATATACAAGTGAGCTCTTTTGCTGAATATTCTCACGACGAAAAAAAACGACATTCAAAACACCTACAGAGTGCACGCATGCATTACGTGAAGTCTAGTGCGCTCTTTTACTGCATGATTAAGTCTATTAAAATACATTCAGAATGATCACAAATTCAAGACATGGGGGCAGAAAATGTAAATTATACCACTTCATATAGTTAATCAATTTCACATGAAGAGTGCTGTTTTTGCCAAAAATTATCATGATTACAAATGTGATATTGATTTTTTTTTTTTTACAACAGTTCAATAAACTAGAAGTTAATTAAGAGACTTACGTTTTAGACACCATATTGCCTGTTTTTGCGACAACAAAAATAATTCCAAACACATCCACAGCACTTTTGTGCGTCTCTGAGCAACATGACGGTGTTTCGTTCCTGAATCAATCAATCATTTAAATGATTCGGTTCAGTCGCAATGACTCACTTATTAACAGTGACTTGCTGCCACCTACTGGCGGTTTTAATTTCACATTTAAAGT